CAAAACATGGCGCTTCTATGGAGGCCACAAATGCTGATCAAACGAAGAAACCGGCCACTTCAGATCCTACCAAGAGAAGAAATTGCCTGTGAACAGGCCAACGAGATAGAGAACGTAAGAGAAAACAACGAGCACTGCGAAAAGGAAGAGAGAGTAAGAGAAAACAACGAGCACTGCGAAAGCTTATCAGTGCAGGATGAAGACAGTACCTCGCCCGCTATGTTTGAAGGAAAAAGCTCCAAATTAAAGGTAAGCACGCCAAGATTCTGTAGCACAGTTGGAATGGATCCGCAGGGAAGTATGGGGGAAGGGCCTGCAGCACAACTTCCTTTTATCCTTATTTTTTATCCATATTTCTCTTTCTTTCTTACCCATTTGTAAATTAAAACGATGAATACGTTCATATACTTCTCTCGAAAACGATACCCGATTTAGCCAGACCAAAATGCATGGGCAAAGTGTATATCCGTTTTCAGACCAAAACGGCGCAAAAACTCTACCCGAATGGGACTGCACGTAACTATATAGCTTATTTGAGAGAGTACCCCCCCCCCCCTCCCCCTACACACACACCCCAGGGTACACAACGAACTCTTGTTGTGCTATAGTGTGATTGGCCACAGGCTTTGGGTGGCTTTGGTGATCAACTGACATCTACTTTCGTCTTATTGAGTTACAGTCCTCCGTCAAACTTTAAAATCACGTCCGCTCTTAAAAGGTCCAAATAATTGATCATGCTGCACCAATATGCGGCGCTTAACCCATCCGATGTACGAGGTCTCGCTTTCGAGATCGGCCCGGCACAGTTTCGCTTCATTACAGAAATAGCCGCTCTTTTTAAACAGAAGCAAGAGTATGAATGCTACCTAAACATTTTCGGCATAATATTCTACGCATTTCACAGGAGACTGTGTTTACATTGTAGCAGTCCTTTCCCGCACAGACGTTGGGATGCTTTTCACAATAATACTACTGCATGGGAAATTACTGCAATTTGATTGGCTTAGAGAAGTGGTATTTCAGCTTAATTTGAAATACCTACATGTGAAAATTACAAACCTTTTGTGGGTAGTAGTATAAACAAATATTAGCATGATTTGTACGTGATATTTGGCATAAATACCACTTGTGATATTTCAAAATTGTCTCAAATTTCACTCGCCTAACGGCTTGTGAAATTACGTATAACAATTTCGAAATATCACTCGTGGTATTTATGCCAAATATCACCACAAATCATGCTATTACCTATACTAATATATTAATATTATTTTTTACCTTGTTCTTGTTGTTGTTTTTTTTGCAGAAATCCCGTGTTCGTCGATTTTTTTCGTGGTTAACAAAGATCTGTTCTTGTGGCAAGCCACAAACAACAGATTAATATCATTTCTTAATTTCAAAAAACATGCCAAAAAAATTACAAAATTATAGGATTCCGCTTTCCACAATAAAAATCACCAGATTCCGGAATCCTAATTACCTCACGTAAGGCGACAAGCTGGTTTTTGCAAAGGGGCTGGACAAAAGTGATGTAAATAAGAAAACGAGAGAGTACATTTTACCAATGAAGACAATTTTAGTATTGGTGAATGAATGTAGAATTATTTATGTATCTCAAACAGTACTTAGTAGGTATATGTTTAACGTGTTACACCTCGTTGAAGAGGCTACTAAACATGAAAAGTGGACCCACTTTCCCGTTCCGTTTATTTTTTTGTCTTTTGCTGTTCCACAAGATTTTGCGGATTTTTTTTTTTAACATTTGTGGTCAACATATATCGTTTCTACTCATTAAATTATTCTGTCGCCCGGCTGGGAGCAGGCGAAGCATACTGGTTGATTTACATTATTTTACACTTTGTTTTAGGGTTCATCGATTTATGTTGAATAAAACATGAACGTTTAAGGTGTCATGCAGTTTGCTTTTCTTTGAAATGAGCGAGATAATTGCCTGGAAAACGTTTCTCCAATGACGTTACCTGTAAAAAGAAGTCGTTTCAGTTATGGCGAGCTTCTAAAGCAACGACGACGACTACGAAAACGGTAAAAAAGCAAAATAACAACACTGTACGTGCATCGCCTTCTATTTTACATTTCTTTGCCGTTGTTGCGCGAATACGACGTGAAACTTCCTAATTTCTCTAATTTGTTCCTGGTACTTAACAATTATTCCTTAAGTCCGAAGGAGCTCTGAGTCAATAGCCCATGAAGCCGAAGGCCGAATGGGCTATTGACTCAGAGGCCATGAAGGCGAGAGGAATCATTACTTCGGTGGAGCGCGAAGTAAAGGATTCGCGAGGCTCAGGAATGTATCAAAGTTGTCTTTTTTTGATAAGATTGGGCACGTAAAGCCTGTAGGTTTTCGGTTTTATTCGGCTATTTGACGAAGTAAGAGCCGAATTAGTTCGAGATATCTCGAGATCACTTCGATTTCTTTGATTTATTCTTTAACTTTTTCTAGGACGAAAGAATGATTATTTCGGCTTTCCCGGGGTTTAAACCGACTCACCTGTGTGACCCTTCAGATCAGAGCAGACTCTAAGTTGAGGGATTAGCCGATTGCGCTACTGCAGTCCAAGGTAGTTGAATATGAAAAATAGTTATGAAATGGTACAGTGTTGTTTCGGGACAAGATTGGGTGTGCAAGTTCGTGACTTTTCGGCTTGTTTCGGCTATTTCACGAAATGAGACCTGACTACTTTGTCATATCTTGAGATCACCTCGAGTTTAGTCTTTAATTTACTCGAGGAATAAATAGAGCCGCGCAGAGACACGAAATTTCTCTTCAAGTGTTGAAAAACATTTCACGAGCCCTCCTTTCGAACTGTTTCAAAGTTACAAAATGCTGCACAAAGACATTTTGTCTTGGTTGAGTGTTACGTAGTAAAATTGCTTTTATGCGTTGCCTGACTTTCTTGGACGTTCTCTACGTTTTCGAATTATTCATGAATAATTAATTAGGGCATGTTTACAGGGAAGAGATAAACCTCTGCCGGTCCCCGACACTTTGATGTAGCCGCCGACCACATCTGTCATCGAAACTGGATGGTTTTCAAAACCGGTTTAGGTTAATGTGGAATTCACGTGCCCTATCGAGACTGCATGCTGGAAATTTCTGAGCCCACAGTTGTTTTCGAGCAAACCGGTTCATAGCCTGTTCCAGGCGTTCAGATAGTGGGGAGCGGTGCGAAGTAAAAGGAGCGCGAAAAAATAAAAGCGAGGGAGGGGGAGAGGTGAGAGAGGGAACCCCGCACCTCTCTCCCCAGCCCCCCTCTACTTTTCATCCCTTTCTTTACTTCGCACCGCTCTCCACTATCTGAACGCTTGGAACAGGCTAACCGGTTCAATAAGTTGTGTCGCACGTGACTGAAGCGTTACTGGTTGTTAAGGAAACGCCAGTGCATGCGTGATAGAAAACGCATTGGAGGCCGGCAGAAATCTCTCTCTCTTCCGTATCATTTCTCTCTTGCCCTCTCAGGTGTCCGCATCTAATTGGGGATATATTTAAGTTAAACATGTTTGTTTTTGAGGAGAAAGAGAAAACCGGGGTATCTGGAGAAAAACCTCTCGAGGGAGCAGTTAAGAACCAACAATAAACTCAAGCCAGATATGGCTTTGACCCACACCACATCGGTGGGAGGCGAATGCTCTCACCACCACGCCACTCTTACTCCGTTCCCCTCCCCACCTCTCCCCCCGACAAAAGCGAGGCTTATATTTATCAAGGAAGTTTGAAGTAGTTATAGTTCTTTATTGTTTTGATTATGAACGAAGCTGGAAAGAAAAAGAGAAAAGGCTAAAAAGAGGGAGGGGTCATTGGAGTCAGATGTGTTTAATACGGAATTTACCGTCGGCAGCAAGATATAAACCACAAGAAATCAAAATCCACCAACATTTTAGTGTTTACTTACAATAAAATACATTGCCATTTTATAGCATTGAAAAAAAAGAAAATTTTTACAACAACGTGAAAATTGTCAACGCTTTTGTTTGAGTGCAAATTTATTTACCTAATAATGTACAATGACCTCGGGGTACAATAAAATAATTTCCTTCTCTTCGTGAGCACTGTACATGCCTGTAATACCGCAAATCGGGTGATGGGTTCGTTGATTTTTCTCACTTTCAACTGAGCCGAATTAAAATCTGCTAATGGCATATGCTTCTCTTTACAGCAATAATCCTTCCTGCCACAATCACGCCTCGTCCTGTTGAAAATAAAGCAAATTATCTTCACGAGTCTGCTCAAGTGATTATTCTCATACTACAACTGGCATTAGGTCAACGTTGACTGTCGATAAATGAAAGTGTTCAGAGACCTTGGATTCCCAACAAAAAATGATAAATCACAAGAGGCCAACGTTAAAAAATAAAGCAAATTTTCAACCGCGCAGTGACGTCTGAGAAACGAACGAAGAAATTCCATATTGATGATGCATCACTATCCTGAACTACGCAGTGCTTCTGATGGGTTGAAAATTTGCTTCATGCAATCAGAAGCAGTACAGTGTATACCACCCATATTTTAGGAGAATGAACAAAACGAAAGCGTACAAAATTCAGTGATTTTGCCATTTCTTTAACCTAAATAAAGTTCAACCTCTGTTAGGCGGCAAAGTTCCGAATGACTGTACAAGGAACAACAGGTATTAAGGACCGGGGGGTACTCGACCAATATTTGGGTATAGGTGAGCAGCTGAGGGTTTGAAACCCTGACCCTGTTTAGGACAAAAAATTCCTAAAATACATACCCCGTTTAGGACAAACGGCAAGAGGCACGCTGTCCTGTTTTAAAGCCATTTATTAGCAATTACAATGGAGCAAATTCACGTTAGAGTCATTGCTTTTGTACACAAAATTCACCGAACAAATCAAATCAATCGTGCAGGCAATATACGTTTAAACAGTCTCGCATGAAATCATAAACACTGTTTAGGACAGAGAGGTAAAAACCATACCCTGTCCAGGGGTACATATAAGGGAGTACCCCCCCCCCGGGATTAAGGAGCAGTCTCTACAAGTAGAAATGTTAATAATGTAGGAGAGACCTTTGTAGAGGCCCCAGTCTCGTCTACAGGGCTTGGTTGTGGTGGCTTGTAAAATGGGTCACGTGTCTGCATTAGATCCGTTAACCGCTGGTACAGAGGATTGTCTGGTGGAAAGAGGTTCCTCTGCAAGGCAAGAGAAAAAATGCATCGCTTGATTAAATGGAACTTTTTAACTTGTAGGTTTTGTTTTCCCATTTCAGATCACGTGATAGTACCACAGAGAACTATTTCCACCCGCATATAAACGCATATCTTATGAAAAGACAAAAGGCAAATTCCCTGGACAGCATCACATGGTCTGAATTGAGAAAACAAAGCATACAAGCTAAAAAGTTCAATTCGGCCTCAAGAAGGTGGGTGGGCCTTCTCCTCCAGGACCAGCCTCTAAAATGCTGGCCAAGGCTAGCGTCTGAAAAGGGGGATCCTGATCCCGCATTCCCGCTCTTTTTTTTCACGAGAATCCCGCATCCCGAACTTTTCTCAAGTGCTATTTCGAATACCTTTTTCTTTCCCAACCCGTATCCGTGCCAAATTTTGCCCAATCCCGCTTCTCGGGTAGCATTCAAATCCCATATGCCGCCCTATATTTTGGAGAAATCCCAGGCCCGAGAATACACTTCCAGACATTCCAAGGCTGCCTGCGTGAATACTGTACAGATATAGACCAGTTTAACTGTCACGTTGCACTCGATAAAAATTTATTTTCTAAGGCTATTTCTAAATACTCTATATCGCGCGCATTCGATTAAACGCCGCTGCGTTAATTAAATTTTACGCGTTTCCGATGCGGCGTTTACTCAGGGGCGGTGTTTATTCGAGGGCGATGTTCACAGTCGACTCCCTCCAAACGGACACCTCTTCTAAATTGACACCTAGAGTTGTTCCCTGCCTTTCTTTACTCCCTTTATTTGACTCTCTATAAGACGGACATCTCTCTAGGGCGGACACTTAGAACCGGACCTAAAGACTGACTTGGAAAGAGTTGACTGTATTTTAAAATCACTGCGAGCAAGCGCTCTGGCAACAATCATGACAAATCATTTGTAGAAAATATTAAGTAAAAGAGACAAATTTTTTACGTTCCAATGTCTCGCATTTTTTGCTGAGATAGAATCGTGATTTTTTGGACCGTGTAGATTACCAAGTTATACCGAGTTTTTTCTCATATCCTCGAATAAACGCCGCATTGTTCTGATTGGGTGCAGCGTTTATTCGCGGGCGCACTTTATTGGCAATTTTGCTTCCATCTGCGGCGTTTAATCGAAGATGCATTTAATCTAGGACGGCGTTTAATCGAGTAAATACGATGGCATTTGCTTCCTTTGAATTTAGATTACAAAAGACTAGCTATGTCACAGGATTTTTTATCACGGACGAAAACATTAAAAAGGTGTTACTTACACTCAGTGAAAATCTCATGAGTCCTGTTGGTTTAGCGCCTGATGAAGAAACTTCTGCCTGCCTTTGTATTGAAATAAGGAAAGCTTCTACACCGGACACATCCACTTTATTCCCTACAAAGTACCAAACACAGTTTCCATGTTACTTTCAGTTGCACTTTTGTCTCACCTTAAGACGAAAAACAAATCACAAAAACAAATACGGAATTATTAGAGAGATTAAGAGTGACGTTACGTCAAACGGCAAACATCAGATTCAAGTCGAGAATTTCTTAAAATAGAAAACGTGAAGCTAAAAAAATCCAAAACAATTTTTGTAGACAAAAATAACGTAAAGCAGATAGTTTTGGGGTAGAAGTGATGAACAGAAAAGAACAAGTTAAGGGGAAATTTGGTCACGTGGTACAATTTCACGTTTGCTGTTTGTCGTTAAAGTGACTCCAAATGAGGGGACGCAGTTGAACTCGCTTGCGCTGGGTCATAGTTGGGCTAGTTATGGCTGGGTTCAGCTACCTCGCTTAGGGGGCCGTTTCTCGTAAGTCCCGATAATTAACAGATGGCCGGGCCGGGCTTGGCCGGGCCGGGCTTGGCCGTACCGGGCCGGAAAGTTATTGTTGCTTACATTCTAAATGTAGGTTTCAGTAGTAATACAACATGATAAAATCATCAATTAATCACAAAATGGACTGGTTTGTTCGCTATTGATTGCGCTATTTTTCTTTAGGCTTTGATTTGCATATTTGATTGCAGGCCCCAGAAACGGGCAAACGGGCCCCAGACCAGACAAAAAAGGCCTTCACCAGGTCTCGCGTTGTTTTTTGTAAGGACAATAAGGCTCGCAAACTCTTTCTCAATATACCGCCTCTTATTCTTTCACTTTACACTTCCCAAGAAAATCACGCTAGACTGGGACCTTTACTTTATGAAATGATTTCATGATGTTTTTTGTTTTTTCATTTTTTGTTATTAGTTTGTGAATGTTTACAACAAAAAAACGTACTTGACAGATTGAGGTTGATAAGAGCTCTGTTTCCAGGAATAATAATTTCACCACCTTCTTCTTTCAAAGGAATTTCTAGCAGCGGATTAGGAAACTCCACAACTTCTGGTTGCTGTGAGAAAACAAAACAGGCATTTTATGGCTCGTTTACTTGTAAGGAGTTTACTCACTCCGTTTGCGATAGTCGGGTGTCCTTGAATGAAAATAAATGAGAGCTCCTGCTACTATGAGAGGGAAAGCTACTTTGCTTATTCTCGCCAACCATTGAAGATTTGGGTCTTCTTTCCTCGACTTTCCGCTACTACGATCAACGATCGTTCGTCTCCGTAAACTCTCCGCGGAGAGATATTCACCCTCTGAACGTCCGCAGTAAATTTCCGCTCCATGTTCGAAACGCAGTAACATCAGCAGCAACTGAAAGCAACTTCCCTCATGAAGCGGTGTAAATGGAAAATGTGGATATTTTGACAGACAACGGCAAGTAAAGAAATTTAATGTACATTAAACTTTAAAGTCTTTCAACTAAAACCCGCCGAATTTTTGAATGCAAGTACTGGTTGTACAGTACTGTAAGCATGTGAAAATCGGAGTTTTCTGAACCATATTTCGGAGAATTCTTGAGAATAAAGTGGTTAACACGTTCACCTCCAAGAGTCAGTACGAGAAATTAAACAGTGAAACAAAACGTATCATCATCATCATCATCAGCATCAGCATCAACAGACAATATGTAACGTTCGGTGGAGCCTACCTCTTGTTCAGGTTGTTGGAGTTTTTTATCCCCCTTTGTAGTGTTAACTTTCTTTCCTTTGCCCACACTCTTATTAACGGCCTCTGTCGAAGCAACTGGCAAACAAATCACAGTGAACATTTTGCCCCGCGTCCACAAAAAATTCACTGGTAATGAGACATGCACTTGCCCTCCCCCAACCCCATAAAAATAAAAATGCTCGCCCTCCTCGTTCTACGACATTTTTTCTGTTGAAGACTCTCTCAGATTTTGTCGGTGTTCCTTTTAACAATTTTTACCAGATTCTGCAATATAAATCTTGGATAGATGTCTAAGCGATTCATTTTAGAGACGCATTTTTCAAATTGGTATCTGAATCCTGACTCGTGTCCAGTGTCTCCATTTGGATGCGGGAATCGCTAGCCTTGTTTAAGGGGAGGGGAAGGCTGTATAAGCGGGGGACGGCACGCGAGAAGTGTGACCGAAGGAAGCGCAAGGGGTGTTAGGAATGAGACCGCGCTTCTCTCCTTATCAGTAGGAGACCAAAAGACGACTGGGAACGAGTCAGATCTGAACCAGCTTCATATCGGTATCACTCAATCATTCACAACCAGTACCCAAGCCAACAGAGACTCCTTGCTGATCAGTCTGTGAATATGCAAAGCGGATACTGAAAGCCCTGATCTAGTGCTTGCTCCATTGGTATTACCTTTTTTCGTTTTTTCTGTTTCTTGTTTTTTGTTGTCCTAGAAAACAAAGCAAAACAGTGGAGTAAAGCAAATATTGTACTTCAAAAGCAAAAACAAATTTGTACGCACCAATTTAGAGACATTGAACGAAGAAAACTTCAAACAAGTTGAGCCTCTTCATTAGAAAAAAGACCAAACCTGGTCGTCCATTAGCTAAATTTCTAGACTCAATTCCCAAAAAATAGTGCGGGTGGTTGCCTTGAGGAGGGAAGGTCACCATTTGAATTTCACTACGGTGACAAAATGTTAAGCTCACGTCATAACCGCATATTGTTCAGTTTACTTCAAAACCGGGGTGAATCTTTAGAACCAAACGCAAAGACAAAGCAAACATTATTGGAGGGGCGAGTTCACACTGGTAGAACTAGAAAACGTATATTTCAGATCCCTTCTCCAATGTTGAATGATAGCCACTTAATCGCCGTTGAACAGTAAGAAATCAAAACCATCCACCGCATCTGAGGCTTGACTGCGAGCAGTCTCTCTTTTTTCTTGGTCCGTCGAGCAAAACGCACGAGAGACGCAAATAACCACGCGCGCCGCCATCGTTTCTCGCGTCTCTTGGTTTCGCAGCTCGACGCTCGCGCGCGCGTGCACTGCCTTCATTAAATCTGAAGAAAAAGAGCGACTGCTCGCAGTCTACACTTGAGGCCAATAGATAATGCTGGTAGAAATGTTCACTTAACCCTGTACGTCCCAAGAGTGACCAACATTAATTTTCTCCTTACATCATCAATACTTAAACAAAAGAAAAAGGCAATGAGAATCAATAAAAGTATCAGGATTACTAAGGGAAGTATTACTTTGATCCTTTATCAAATTCTCTCCACTAATTCTTTAACAAACGTATAGACATCAGTCTAGAGAAATTGTACGTTAACATACATGTGAGTGTTAATGTTTCATAAGTGTGCCAGTGTGTTGAAAAAGTGTTAAAATTAGATTCACATTCAACTACTAACAAGAAGTTTAGTTGCCAATGAAAATGTTACTGCTGCTCGCGAGGTCTGACGAGCCAGCTAAAAAGAAAAATACGTGAAACCAGCACGAAACCAGTATGTCAGTAGCCTGCGAACGCTTCTCGCTTCTCTGTGGTGGAGAGAAGCGACGACCAGAAATACGTCTGTGTTCGTAAGCTAGTATGTCAGTAGGTAGAATAAAAGAGGTGCTTAAATAGTTGTTAAGGTTAATCTTAAAAGCGTAAGTAGGATAATTACGTTTTAAAAAGAAGGGAGCAACATCTGTTAATGAAATAGCCGCTAAAGACGGCGAGGGGCGAGGATAGACGGCTGTATTCGCAGGCTATTTGCAAATGGAATGGAATGTGCCGTTTGAAGATGACTACCGCACAGGTTGCTGAAATTTCAGTCACTGTACACTACAGTCCTGTTCAGGACTAGACACTCACCCGGACGATCATATTCCACCTACATGTACTTATACATGTACACGTATTGTCTAGACAAATACTTATACACTTCTCTTTTCTTCTTTTTATTTAGGTTTTGTAAATATGCGTCTTCTATTAATACGTGTGTAACCACTGCGTGCCTCGACTAACTTTGTAGCTCTTACTGTCGCTCTTACCAACTAAATGAACAACCTTGTTGCCAAGGTCCTTTCCTACTCAGCCCCTGAAGCAAGAGATGGGGGCGAGTAGGAAAGGAACCTGGGAACGAGGTTGGTGCAGGCAGTGCACATTTTTGTAAGATATACCGCAAATCCTCTACTAAGCCCCCCGTCTCAAATAAGCAACCTCCCTCTAATAAGACCCCCCCAAGAAGGTTAATAAGCCTCCCTCTCTATTAAGCCCCCGCCCCACCCTCCCTTAATTATTCTTCAATAATAAATGATAGACTGTATTAATGAATCATGACTGTAACCCTTCTTGTGGACTGATCCTGGATGGTTTATTTACCAACTAGAAGTTCGGATTTGATTCTGATCCTGGGCTGCATGACCTCCAACTGCCTGAACTTGAGCTTTATCACTTTGTATTCTAGTTCTTTATGGAGAACCGATACCATCGTCGTTTCTAAATTAAATATGTCCCCCCTCCCTCCCCGGCCCGGGGGCTTAATAGGGGATTTACGGTATATAAAGAGTTAATAAACTGGATTAAATTGTTTATTGTGTTCTACACATACCTTCTTTTTCTGTGAGTCCTTCTTTTCTCTACTTTTCTTGTCTTCTTTGGAAGCATGTGTGCTAGAAGCAAAAAGTGCATATTCATTTGATTATCCATTTATTTGCCTCACGTATTGATCGTGGTGTGCACATCGACACTGGTCAAAATAATGTTATGGTCAAAAATTGCAGCTCATGAATGCAGACAGCGCTTTCTTCCTACCACATTTCGCAATTTTTAGCCAAACATAAAAAAAAGAATTGTCAATCAATCAATCAATCAATTTTACAGCGACTTGGACGCGGCAATATGTACGTTTTCGCGTGAACCGTTTGGCATTCAATTTTACTTAAATTGACGCGCACAGTTTGTCCGATAAAAATGCATTGCAGAATATATATTCTAGGACAAATCAGGGTCCTAATTCAAAAATTGTCCCGATTAATTTGGTAGAGACCACCAGGAATTGTCATTCTTCTGGGGAAGGACTGTTAGTCCAAGATGTGTATTTAAAAAATTCAGAAATAAAATATATTAACAACAATTATAACAGAGCTTAGTGTTGTTTATATAACTTACCCACTGCGTACACTGGCCGGTCTGTCTTTTGATCCTCCAGTTGGAGCGTTCAAATTTCTAGATGGACTCGTCTTCATACAAATGAAAATGATAAGAACACCGTCACTTTTATAATATGTAAAAAATAAATATATCATAAATAGATACACAAGTAAATAACGATTTATTGGTAGTGAACGCACAAAATGGTTCTTTTTCTACCATTTCGGAATTCATCGAATTCGCATTTGGTAATGTTGGAGAAACCCGAATACCAGGAAAAATAAAAATCAATCAATCAATCAATTGATAAAAAAAGGTCTCCGAAGAAGGAAGAAAACTAGCCAGTATGCGAGGCTTAAAATATTGTCGGGACAGCAGACAAAGAAATGAAACGGGGGTGGGAGGTAGGGAGCGAGGCATTTTTTCTCCCTGCTCCAGCCATTTTGCACCATTCTGAGCGCCTAGAGGAGGATAGAAGAGAACGAACAACTAACTCAACCCACATCAGTGGGTCGCCCCCGGGATTCGAGCCCAGGTCACATTAGAGGATGGCGCGTGCCCTGACCAGTGAGCCACCGTTGTTCTCTGGTCAGGTGGTATATTAGAAAAGGCTGAGAAAATACTCACTTCTTCTGGGTTCTTTTTGGAAATAAGAAGTCTCCTTGCTACTATTTCTTCATGGGAAAGAGAAAAGCTGGAAAGCACCTAAAAGACAAGATCAGAAAAGATAGCAACCACAAGGTTAGTATGACACGTTTGGAAACAGAGCAATTACACACTTTTTATAGGAATATATTTCATAAGAATAACGAGGCTGAAATCTGCGTAATTTTAAGAATATTTTAAAAATAAACCCAAGGCTGAGTTTTTGAAACGGACATAATTTTGTTTATTAGAAATCTGTAAATATAATCCAATTATATGTTTTTAACCTAGCCGTATAAAAGTGATTATTCCTTTTTTAAAAAGGCAAAACAGGTTTAACTCCAAACATTTGGAACTGATACGCTAGTACAATTCTGAAACGGAAATATCATAAGCTATAATTTAAGAATACAAAAATATTTTAAGTCCAAAATCGGGACAAAAATAAGAATATTCAGCCTAGGCCGGAAAACAACATTCTTATAGAAAAGAGTATACTTAAATTTTGAAAAATAAAGGACGGATGTACATTAAGTGTGGAAAGCTGGACTTTCCTGGCCTTCGAGTGACATTGCTTACTTTTTTACCACATTGGGTTTGCTTGTCTCATCACGTCACTTTACCTGTGTTAACAGGCCGAGTTTGTCGTTCTACTACACAAAGCTTACCAGTTTGTTTTACGAGAAAAATTTTCTAACCTCCGCTAACTTGGATGCTCCGTTATCACCGATAAGATTACTTCCAAGGTTAAGAGAAAGGAGAGTTCTATTCATTCTTAATCCCTGAAAAAAAAAAACAAGAAATCACTTTTGAATTAGATCAAAATTTTTAAAGTGCGTCCTTCTCAAATTCATGATAAACCTCTTTCTTAAAAATGTTTAATTTACTTTACTTTACTACTTTACTTTGTTGAATTCACCACGGTGACAGGGGATGAAACAGGACTTGCGTCCCTTCATTACTCACCCAGCCCATGAAAGCTTGTTCCGCACCATCGGGGTCTAGGCCCCCTACCCTTTACGAACAGAGTATGGGTTCTTTTACGTCCCACAAGAATCAGACGAGTGAAAGGCAAGCATTAATTCAAACGTTACAACAACAAAAATGAACTTCGAAAAACTGTTAGGCTAACAATTTTCAAAAACCCACAATTTCAATCCGTTTTAATCTTCTTCAAGTTTGTTCATCCGTGCCTACTTTTATATTTGCTGTGTAATTAATACTTTCTTTCAACGTTTTTGGGGTTACTTTTATGTTTCACTCCATTTGGTGGCAGTTAGTTATAATTTAGATAGAAAATGTGACACAGCGCCTAGATACTCTATTACTTCACTTAGATGGTATGTTTCTAAAAGTACCTTTGCTATAAATCCAGCTCCTTCACATGTGATTTTGTTGTAACACAGATTCAACGTTGTAAGTGACTTGTTAGCAGTCAAAGCTCTGCCAATCATCTTTGCGCCCATGTCATTCACATAGCAGTTTCTCAGAGAGAGAGTTTGTATTCTAAAAAAAATTGTTCAAAACCAAACAAAAATGCAAATTAGGTCCTGTTCACAGCTCTACAACTGCGTTTTCGGACGCGAAAAACGCAGGTTTTCGAAAACGGTCCTGAGAGTGGAGTTTTTTAAAAAAATAACGGTTTACCGATTTTGGTGTGGAGAAAAGAAAATAGAGGTTTTTGCATACGCCAAAGAGCGCATGACTTGTAAGGGATACTATCGTATTTCGATCGTTTTAGCGTTTTCGTGTGGACGGGAGAAAACGATTCGAACGCGCTGCGTGTGTGTCGCGTACTTTTTCGAAAACGGAAAAAACTTTTTTTTTGGCTCGTCACGCAGGGCAGGTACGCGTGGGGCAGGAACGCGTGACGAAACCCTAAGAACGTCTGCGTGGGACGCTATGTTTGAAGCTGGTCAAGCCCTTTCTCGTCACTATAAACTCAGAAACAAGCAAAGTACCCAAGAAGTTAAAAGGGCTCGCTTAACATTTGAATGACGATAAACATTTTGATACTGATCGTGATGTTTCCAAGTCGAACTTTAAGCTACATTTTGATTTGTTTCTTGGTGCAACAATACAACTTTTAGATTTTTATAACTTTTGTTGGGTTACTTGTTTTGTTTGTTTGTTTTACTTCTTTTTTTTTCGCTATTCTTCCTCGTTTTCTTTATCTTTTGCTGGGCTTTAACTAGGCTTCAATCTTGTTGGAAAAATTACTGTGAAAACACCACGACGTCCCAAGCATGCTGAAAATATTTCAAAGGTTTATAAAACATCATCTTACGTGCTTTCTTCGCCAAGAAAGACTCCATATCGTTGAAGAGTGACAGGATTGTTATCAAGACATAAAGTTCTGTAAATTGAAACAGAATATAAACAAAATCACCTCCTGGCACTCATTGACATCTGCCCAGTTGTTAATTAACAATTAGTTCATGCGTCAGCGTGCGTATGTCGAGATATTGAGCACGCGGGAAGTTTGGAGAGCACGAAAGAGGCGTAAGAGTTGCACGAGGCGCAGCCGAGTGCAACTCTAGCCTCTTGAGTGCTCTCCAAACTTCCCAAGTGCTCAATATCTCGACATACGCACAGCTGCAGCATGAACTAATTGTTTTATAACATTATCAAAGCGATCAATGCACCAGTTAACTTAAAATTTTATTATTGTAGGGCGCGCTCAAAGCAGTACGCGTCAATGTTTACGTGAGTATATTTTTTTCCTCACAGTTAAGCTTATGTTTTTATCCTGAAACTGAGAGAAAGTGAACTCTAAAATGATTGTAAAATCTATATTTAGGTGCCGGAAGACTATTAATTCATCGAAAAATTGTTATTGAGAGAAAACAACTTTGCAAAGAATGATCTCACGCCATAGTCTGCACAGCTCGCGGAGATGACAACAACAACAACAACAGCACTCACCTCTTTTCCTTACTATCGGTTAACAAATTCAAACGTTTCCTCTTAAATTTCCTTATAAAACACATGGTAAACTTTTTATCGTGTACTGCCGAGTTATGGATGCACTCATGAGACTCAGGATTGCTAAGCTCACAACAACTCGAGGAATTACGAATAGTTTATTGACGTCATCAGCGTGCTCAATAGGAATATGAAGCACGCTCGCGCTATTGAATTTGATTAGGCGAATTTTCTAGCTATGTTATAATGTGGTTTTGTTACCCAGCCCTCAACTTGCAACATGTAATGCTAAACATATTCTGAAAATCTTCTACAACTCTCTAAAAAAGTCTTTCATTAAATTAAAATTCTTTAAATTTTTCCTTTGACAATAAGTACACCTCTAATTGTCCATAAAATTAATAATAATTTAAAAACTCAAAGAAACCAAAGAAACAGAAGCTACATTTCTTGAAAACGTTTACCACCAAATGCACCTTTTGTGTCAAACAGGCCAAAACATTATCTCCAAAGTAGCCATTATAAAAACTAAGAGTGCAACCATTGCTTTTTTCTCTTCTCCTCTTTTCTTCCTTCTCGCTTTTTCTCCTTTCCTTTTCCTTCGTTAGTATGATTTTGGAGCATATTGGGCTTATAAGTTATTGAGGAACACACTTCAACTGGAAGTAGACTTTTTGCATTCTTGAGCATTGTTTTTGGCAAAATTTTCCTACAAATCATCTCTATGAGAGTGAAGAAACTTTCTAAATCAAATTTGGTAGCTTCAAGACATATAAAAAGGGAAAACGCCTCAATTCCGGTTGACGTGCGTTACTTAAAACATCTATATACCTAAGATTGGGTAGGTGAGACGAGGCAATAGATGCTAAGGTATTCAGGCTGTTGTCTTGAAGACCAGTGTTCCAAAAACTAATGAGATAGAAAACACAATATTACATATCTTGTTAGTACAACTAAGAAAGCCATTCAACTGAAGGGACAAGTTAATCAGACAGTAAACAGCGACAACCTAAAGTCAAGTGTTAACAGGGGTTATTCTCTGCACTTGGAATTTGCCATGTTAGAAACGAGAAGAAAGGAAACTAGAACAAGTAAAAGTTCACAAAGTCTTCTGGGACTGTTACTAGGGAGAGGGAAAAAATTAGCCAATAGCTAGACTGCGAGCAGTCTCTCTTGTTCTTCAGATTTAGAAAGGGCAGGACACGCGCACGCGAGTGTTGCGCGCGCGAGCGTTGAGCGGCGAAGCCGCGAGATGCGAGAAACGAGGGCGGCAGCCCGAGAAGAAAAAAGCCTCTCCCGTCTCGCGACTTCTTTCACGCGCGTGGTCATTTGCGTGTCTCGGGCGTTTTGCTCGACGGACCAAGAAAAAAGAGGAGACTGCTCGTAGTCTAGCCAATAGCTGACAGGCGCCTCCCCAGTAACAATCCCAGAAACAATTGCAGGACGCATTTCGGTTCCAATTACCTTATCGTTTCTAAAGAGTCCAACTCGCTAACACATGAATTCACTGACTGTGGCTAACAGGGCTCGAGAAAAGTCTCCTCTGGTAGTTAGGGACAAGTAGATTTTTATGCTGGGAGGGTAACTTTTAACGCATGTCTTGTCCAATGGGGTAGGGTCCAGGCACGTCATCCTAAAATAGAGGATGAAGTGGTTCCAGGCAAACAAAATGTGGGAGATGCTTGCACAAGCACAAGCTAGAATTCACGATTTTTTCGAGCCCTGAGTAAGTATAACTTGAAACAATGTTGGCCAACAGTCATCCTGCTTCACATGACAGATGATGTTTCATCTCTCCTGTAAATAGGCATCTACTGCTCTTCAGTGGAAGCAAAAGAAATTTGGTCACATTGTTTACTAGTTATCTGCTTTTTGAAGCCTTTATTGCCTTTTGTTTATCCCTTCACCTCTTGGGTAAATAGTAGTACAAGAGATGCATGTCATTGTTACCCTTTGCTTGGAATCTACCGGTACTTCCTGATTCTACCAGTCTCACAGTCACCTTTAACGATGCTGCGCACTCATTTATTGTTGAGAAGGTTTAGCTTTAGTGTTAGTGTTTGTAGCGTGATGTAATGTAAATGTAATGTACATCATGCAATGTTACACAATGCCATGTATTGAGGTGCTGTAGAATACCATTCAGATGATATTTTGGCTTGTCACACAGGGGCAGGAATGTGTGATGAACCCCTAAGAACATCTGCGTGGGAAGCTAGTGATGCTGTAGAGTATTTTAATAAACGTTTTTTTTATGTGCAGAAAAGGGGATCATATACCTTTAGGTGAATAACTAAACTAAACATAAAATCAATTAAAACTGGAAACTTAACAGTTATTATGATAAAGTGATACTTATAGCAATGTAAATCACTTTTAATATAGTTACAAGCACGTTTCAACTATTTTACCAACTTACTCAATTGTGGTCAATTTCTCCAGTGGTGGCAATGTTATAGTCAAAATGTTTAAAATTCTTTCATCTATTTTCCATCCTACATGGAGAAGAGGTTTAATTAATTACAGAACATGTAGTGACTGTAGTTATTGGTAAATTCTTTTTTTTTTTTTTTTTACCATAATAATTCAGACTGAGGTGTCTGTTATAACCACCAGGTACTTTGTAACAGACCCATTAGACAGATAGGAAGTCACGCACCTACACAAGAAGTGACCAATCAAGGAGTCACCGAACTGTAAACGTGGCATGAACACCTTCCAGAAAATGGAAGCTGAAACCTGATTGGATAATACGAGGAAAGGAATGTGGTTCCGTTCTTAGCAACCAGTTGTGGAAGGAGCATTGCATGCGTGACAAACTCAAGGAACGGCTGTGAACATGGTGAAGCACACTGCATGAGAAGTGGAGTGAAAAAAAAAAGTACTACATGTACACTTCATCAACAGAGTGAACACGCTGTTTTTTGTTTGAAATAACTGGGTTTAAAGTTTATTTTTAAATTAGAAGAATAACTTTTTCCTGTACCGGTAAGTTAGATCAAGAAGAAGAGGTCCTGAAACTTCTCCACAGTTTACAACCTTAAGGTTCTTGAAAATAAATGGCTCAATCAAATTTGACAGTTCTAGCTCACCTCGAATGTAGATTTCCTTGATATGGGATTTATTACCCTCCTCTTCAGTTTCCACTTCCACTCTGGGCTTAAAGTAATGATATTTTTCTTTGATGGTGTATGTTGTCGGTGGCTCTTCAAGTTCACCAGAAACCATTCCTGCCTCATCAGTCTTACTACTGTCATCTTTTGATTTATCGGCTGTTGAAAATTAATAACAAAATAATTCAACCCGTATCTTAAATTCTTGAAGGAGTTTAATTTTGCAAGTGGATGATTTCACTGGAGAGAGTAGGCTCCCTCATAAAACACCCATTGTACATGCTTTAAGGATGCTAAGGGTGTTACCTTGAGTTAAAAAATTGATGAAAACAGTGTATACAATTCTTTTTTTACTACTGGTTAAAAGAAATTTTCATCCTTAAAAGGCACCAAGACATACCCACAAAAGAAATACATGGGTTCCATTCAGGTGTGTTTTCAACATTTTTTGGGACAAACTGTGACCCCCCAATTTTTAAAGGGAATCAAGCCAGGAGTTAACAATCATAGCTATGAGATTACAGTTTTCGGCCCCAAAGCATAAGGGTAAGGTATACAGTCGATACCCTTTTCCTAGCCAGCCAGTAATCTGACAAATGGTAAGTGCCCTTAGATAGACACTCAATGCCAGGCCCAATAATACCCATCTAACAAAATGTTGACTGCACGCACACCTTTAAGATCACACACCTACCATCTTTCTTATCCTGCTTGCCCACTGGTGTGCTGTCCTGTGGAATGACACTGGGTGTTGGTGGACGATGAGGACGAGGAACGACCTGCATAGTGGGAATACCTGCTCTTGTACATAACTCACAGAAATCCACTTCAAAGTTACCAGTTGGTGTGTATGGCTCTGCAGTACGAGGAAAAATGGGATTATTTTACAGCAGATTTTAAATAAATCGGCATACAATTTAACATGTCTTAAAGAGGGATCAATGTCTACATTCATGCGATGTGGACTGCAGCTTATTACACTGCTGCCTTCCACCCTCAGTGAAATGCAGGCAGCAAAGGTGACTTAATCCACCGCAGTGATGTACATGTACAGGATTACCTACTAATAAAAGGAAACATGCAGTGCGTGACGGTGCACTAGTACTTAATCCCAGATAAGTCCCTGGCAGCTCACTTTTGCCCTTAGTAACCAGGAAATCTTATTAAATTCTTTTTACATTAATTGTATGCTGGACATGCTAGATTTCAAAGGTAGAGCTTTAGGCTACACTGTAATTCCGGTCCTACAGTTTTTCTATACGTAGAAACTTGCTAGATGACCCTGGAGTTTCAACAGTAAATAAGGCTAAACAATTTTGGCATAGACTCACTTAAGTCCTAACAAGTTTTACATACATATAATCTATAGTAGTTTCTAGGGACAACAATTCTTGAACTTCAGCTGGACCAAAAGTTACATCTGACTTAAAGGAGAATTTGAGGAGTCTCAATCAATTACTGTAACTTTATGGCATGAACATGTAATCAGTCAATCAGGTGATGAATTGACAAAAGATAGATTGTCATGGCACTTTACGATCAGAGTGATATTCTAGACTGAGTTGTTGTATTACAATCAAGTATTCTACAATCGTCCAAAAATTTTTGAAGCATGTAAACTACACTCACTTTGTTATTCATGGGTATGCGTTGTCTGCAATGAACGTTATGGAGTTTGAGAAATTATAAAACAAACCTTTTGCAACTTGAATGGGCATGCTGTTATAACAGGGCTCAGTTGGATTGTGTAAGATCCCTAACTTTTGTTAAATCTACAAAAGCAGCAGCTTAGGTTCATTAGACTGCACTTACAGTTGTCAATATTACATTTTCCTTTTTATAAGAAAAAAACAGAATTTCAAGTATCCAGTTCTAAACTAGTCTCTAGTTCTAAACAACCTTAAAAATGTCCTGCTGACTGAAGGATTTGTAAGCTGCAGGGTCTGCAAACTACATAACTATCAATCGAGCTGTGACCAGTTCTTGTGTTCTTAATTTTGGCGACAAGAGAGATTTAGTATTCTAGTTCAAGCCTGATTAAAAATAGCTTTGGAACAGTAAATAATGCTTTCACCTGCGCTGTCACCACAGGGTAAACAATTTGACGCCATGTCAAGTGAGATTTAGAGATTAGCTGAAGATTAACTAAAACAAACATTATTATGGTCACTTCAGCCTATTCTAAACGTTCAGTTAAAAAAAATCTTAAAAGTTGTTTATCTAACTTGAAGACCGTGAGCAACACCAAATTTATGTAATTTACTATATGCAATTCAGATTAGATCCACAAGCAGTTATAGCTATGATAGATCAATCGACATTTCTTTGAGCACTTGCATCTGATGGTTGAAGCACTTAGTAATTTCCATTGAAAGTAATTACTATAAAAGATGACAAGAAATTATAACTCTCTCACACAAAAACATTAAAGACTTAAAACATACGGGAGAAATCAAAAGATCTTGCAAAGTTAGTGGTAACGAACAATTAAGTCATTTAAAGTAAATAAATCGATCAAGTTCACAAAATCACCATTTTCAGAAGAACTTGGTTCTGTTTCTGGAATCTCTGTAATGGCCTCCATATTAATGACAAATAACATTACAGCATGCAACCTTAATTCATTTGTATCTTTGATTTTGTGCCAAAAATAATTTTTGGGTCTTGTGACCAACAAACAAACAAACATAATCTAAGCTGATTTATTGTCACTAATGACTCATTAGCAGCCAAACATGTAGAAAAAAAATTCTTTTCCACTGTTTTTATGGATTCAATAGCTCCATATAATTACTCAGATTTCGGAGAATTATACCATACAGAAAAATTTAAAGAGTGGTTAATGAATTACCTAAAGTAAAGGTATGATACATAAAAATGAAACCCTATTGATTTTTATCTGTGATCCTTCTATCTTCACTCATAATGTTCATTTCATCTAGATCTATAAGCGTTCAAAGATCCAAATGAATATTTATTACATACTTTGTACAATAATAACATTAAGTGTTTTTCATTCAACATAGAACCTCTTTAGAACTTAGCACAAAAGGGAAACATCAAATTAACATAAAACACATTTTCATTGTGATTGCAAAGCAATTAGTTTGATGAACACTTAAGAAACAAAATTTTTCTTACTTGGAAGAAAAATAATAAATAATAATCTTGGGGAGGATTATAGAAGCTTAAATGGATTACTGCAAAAGACCTTCTAGTTAAGCAATTAAAAAGCTTTTAATAGTGAAACTAATGAGAGAAAAATCTGCCTTTAATTATCATTGAGACTCAGCACCAATTCACAGTTAAATGTTCAGAATTATTAGTAGTCCTAATATGATATTCCTAAATATGTGAATTTTACCTGACTTTTATCAAAACATTACTCAGTGTCAAGAATAATACTTCATCAGACTTTAAGGTAAAAAAATAACTATATATGTAACTGTACTGGGCCCCAAGTGATCACTGAGTATTTCATTACAATAAATGAGAGTTGCTCCAGAAGGAGTAGAAAACTTGCAACAGCTTCTTTTCAAGTTTGTACAGAGTCCATGTTACTAATGGGTTTCAACTAATTTAGCAACAGAATTAAGCTTAATTCTCACTACTACAGCTGTATTACTACCAAAACAATGTACATGCACTCCATTAAAAAGTTTAAACACAAAACATTTGTCCAAAACACTTGTCCTTGTTCACTTGTCCACTTCCACTTTGGAACATGTCCTTCTCCTTAACATGTCCCTGTTTCTGCCTGAGTTCCAAACAATGCAAGTTCATGCCTAGTTCTATATAACTGATACATTTTCAGTGGTGATAGCTGAACAGCTGGGACCATCTCTGGGACTACATTGTTCGAGAGAGGAGACAGCCTTATAGAGGTTTTCATTAAAGACAAAGTCAAAGACTGCACATTATCCCTGTAAAACATACAGGGTAGAGGTAGAGTAGAGGTAGAGGTAGAGGTAGAGTGTGCATGATGAGCACCCACACCATTTTCATCCAAAAATACCCCGCCCCTCCCCCACTCCAAATTGTCTTTGTTTTGCCTGTAACAGTTCCAGAGTCACACAGGCTCAGTGGTACAGTCCCATGGCATCAGATTTGCTACTGCTCAAGGACCACAGGTTATCATAGCAGGGTCTAGTTGGTTAGATCACTGCTGGGAGGGGAGTATTCCCATAAATTTCAGATAGGTCAGACACGCTTAGGTGCGTGCCGCCCAGGGTCTTAAACCCTGACCCTATTGAAGGATTAATGAAACCTGATACCCTATTTAAGTCCCAAACCTGAAAAAGACTCCTCTTCAAGGGAAAGACAAAATATACAAATTTAATGGCAACACACAAACCTTCATTAACTCACTTTGACAATGATAATTTCATGTAGCTGCCGGGTATTTATGCATTTCAATTTTAGCTGATACAATTTGGGCACCCTTTCTAAGGATCACACTGGGAACATACAATGCCAACAAGGGCAAAAATAATACCCTATGGAACTCCTGTGGTGGGGGGAGGAGTATTCAACCAATATTTGGGTATAAGGGAGCCACTGAGGGTTTGAAACCCTGACCCTGTTTAGGACAACAAATTCCTAAAACACATACCCTGTTTAGGGCAAAGGACAAAATGCACATGGTCCTGTTTTAAAGCCATTTATTGGCAATTGCAATAGAGCAAATTCACATAATTTATCGTCGCTGCTTTGTATACTTGGAGTACAACAGAAATTCATCTAGCAAATCAAATCATTTGTGCAGGCTGACAGACTCACACAAAATTATATACCCTGTTCAAGATAGACTCACACAAAATTATTATACATGTACCCTGTTTAGGACAGACTCATATGAAATTATAAACCCTGTTTAGGACAGACAGGTAAAAAACTATTTCCTGTTCAGCAGCACATCCCCGTATAGGCCATATAAAGGACTACCCCCCCCCCCCCCCACCAGGATGAAACCATACCCTATCAGGAGGCTCATGCCTATCTAGCACGTATATAGGAGTACCCCTCCCCCACAAGAGGTCCTCAGAATATTGGATTCCTGAATGTGACCTCAAACCCTTGTTTTGCCTTAGTCACCTTTTATTTATGTATCTACCTTATCAATATTTTACATAGGTCATCTTAAAATGAATTGACCCATTTTTTAAATTGAATGAAGAACACTTTTCACCTACAGTACAAACATTCTGGTACATTTGCTAACCATAAAGAAGAAGAACTTTGTTACCTAATAAAAGGGAAAATGTGCGACCCCATTCTAGTAACTCTACTGAAAATGCGACCCCATTAAAGTCAATCCAGTCGTGAGATGCCACTCCATCCAGCGGCACATCCCCATTAGCCTCTTATAAAGAAGTACCCCCCACCCCCAGGTTATAGCCCTTAATGACAGCTCTGTTTATCAATGTGTACATCACCTTACATAACACATACAGTTTTCAAACATTTGGTGGACAAGTGACAATCCATGAGATCTACAATGCAAAAAGACTACTGTCTTTACATGTAGACTGGAGGATCAGACTCAATCAGTAAAGCAAACAGCCAAGAGCTGAGTGAATTGACTCGCATGACCCCTTGTAGCTGCACACCAACAAAAAATCAGCTGCAACCAACAACAACAACAACACTCTGCTTGAGCTCTCCCAACATAAAGATTCACATGGTATTAGCGTTAAAAATTACATTGAATTGTAAATTTGCCCAATGTTTAAAACGTTCGCGTGACAAGACTTTAGATATCTCTAACACGTGCATACTTATCAACGAAACCATCCATACCTCCATACCACATAAAAGTGCTTAAATAATCTTCTTCTTCAATTTCCACCGCAATCGATGGTCGCGCGCTGTTGCCTCTTTCAGATTTCTTAAGCGCGCGCTTCATCCGCGATACCGATCGAAGAGTGGCGAACATTGTACTCTTCTAGAAGCTTTAAACACGGTTTGAACGGCCAGCATTTATCCAAACACGAAATCCGTGTCCCTAACTACATAAATACGTTTTGAAAGATTCAAATTCAAAAGAAAAGGCTTTTATATCCTGAAGTAAAAGGTCAACAAACGATGACAAGAGAGGAGAATTGAAAATGAACTGATGAGCGCATTTCAACAAACACAGGAAGTCATAATAAAACACTCACTAGGGAATTAAATAATACAAGCCAAGCCCACCAAATTGGAAAAAAATACGATAAGCCATATAAGTAGTTTTTCTGGATTTTCACAAACTTATAGACTTTATATCTTTTCTGGGAAGGACAGATTTTGACTGTACCTTGACCATTCGGACCATTAATTTTTCTGCACAAAACTATTTGTGACACTAGGTGGGTTCAATTAAAATTTTAGGAAACAAAAAACAAAGGTTAGTCACACGCTTTCTGATAAAAGGATATTTTGTTAGTTGTCATTCAGTTCTCCAGCTGAAAAACTAATTTTCAATCCAACTGACGAACCGTACGTCACGATATTTTGTTTTCATATTGAGCAAAATACCAGTGTAACACTGCAGGTTTGTTTACCGGTAATTAATGGGATCAATCCACGACTTGGTTGAAATTTTAGCAAGTAAAATACTAGACGATACAAATGAAGATATAATTGCCACTAAATATCAAGGAAATTCGAACAGATATCGAACTTTTAAAAAAGTACTGTAAATTCATTTCGTGTACACCACAATACATTTACTCGCCTAATTCAACTGGCTGTTCCTCGTTTTCTTTCGCATTTTCCACGGGTGTTTTATCTCCTGCTCCTTTCTCACCAGATGTACTTCCTTTCTCAGGCTTGTCCGTTTTATCGGCCCTTTCTGTGGTTGTTTTTTTCGCCATTTTATTCACCGGTTTTTCTCAAACAGAAATGGCGGCCATACTGTCGATCACTATGGTAACTTGTAAAGAGACCGCTGGCTATGTATGACTAAATAGTAGCATCGGGGAACTCAGGGGAATTACACGAGTGTTGTACGCCCAACCTCGTCCCCAGGGTCTTCTCGCTTTCCAATATGGCGGCGGCAGGAGAGAAGACCCTGGCACACAGCAGAAATCACGTGACTGATTTGTCCACGGAGAGTGGAAATTTATTCAAAATGGCGGCCAAGATAAAGAGTGAGAGGATCTGGGTACGAGATCTTGAGACTGGTGAAAAACAAACAAAATGGCGGCAAAGGCAGAACTTAAAAGAAGCTAAAAATATGAAAGAATACACTTACAAGCCACAGGAATACGGTAGAATGATATAGCGATCTTATTTTCTGTTCAATGACCTTCATTTGTTTTAAGCCTGAAAGTTCTAGCGCACACGGCTGTCTACAACTTAATTTCTCGATACCGACCTTTTTTCACCGTTTTCTTTTTTTGTCGTACCCTGAGCGCCAGAGGTTCAGGTTTCTTCTTTAGTGAAAGGGGGAACTTTTTCTAACCGTGAGCGCAATTTATTTCTTCATGTTAGGAATTTCGAGAACAGACCTCTGAAGCCAGGGAATTTTTTGTCATGACGTGACGCTCTAAGACCTCTTCCGCTCCGAAATTCAACTAAGCATTAAATTGAGTCTCAGACACTTTAAGCTGATAAGTTATCGTCAGTTTTCTTACAGATCTTCATGAGGTTTTTTACTATTGTTTTTCTATCTGCACAAATTTTAACTGAACTCTGATATGTAAAAAAACAATTTTTTTTCTGAAAACAAGAACCAGAGAACACTATTTTGTTAATATAATTTGAGGAAACTTTGGTTGAAAATTAAACAGTTCCTTGGTCAGTTTGGATATTTTGTCACTTGAACTGGTACAGGTAATAAAATTATTGTTAATCTTCATCTACTTCACAGTTTTTAGACTTTGTTATTGGCTTTTGATATCTAACCCCGTTCACAGTGCTTCCGGGCAATAGAGATAGGGGCCTTATTTAATCTAGCAAAGACGGTGGTATTAGTTCCCCACAAAAAAAAATGCCAAGTGAAAAAGCCCAAGTACGAGAAGGTTGGAGGTCAAGCAGCCGAGGATCAAAAACAAATCCGAACTTCCAGTTGGTGAATAAATCATCCTGGATCGGTCCACAGAAAGCTTTACAGTTTTCATTGATTTATACAGTCTCTTATTTATTAGTGAAGAATAAGAAAATAATAATAATTGTTACGAATGCGTTACTTCGTATTGCGTTACTAACGTACATGCGCACCAGCTTAGGGGGCGAGGCCCGATGATTGTGTAATCGTTTGTAATCCTGCTTTGTGCTTTATGCCTATATCGTCATCGGTTATGTGAACGTTTATAAGGTCCAATCATTTTAATCGGGAAAAGAGGTATGATTCTTCGTTTAATATATATATTTTTTGCTTTTATTGTTGCATGAATCACGGATAAATCAGTCCTTATTTACCTACCGAACTAGTCGATTATCGTATTTGCTTTGTATCATGTTATCGCCGAGTTATTTAAGACATTGTTTTCAAGTCTCTTAGCTAGACTCTCGATAATTCTATTGTTGTTTCTGTTACAGTTTTTACGTGCCTAAACGATAAATAAATTTGTGAAGTATCACCGATCGCTATCTATGGTTTTGGTCGATACCTTTTAACGCAACGTGATGATCAGTACGCTACAGTAAAAACTCTCCCACTGTGAAAGGACTTTATTATGGAAAACGTGGTTGAATCAACGGAACCGTCACAAGAAGAAAACGTTAGGAAATGTTCGCGCGAAAGAAGGATGACAGAAAAAGGATTAGACTATCGCAAACAGTTGTTAGAAAGAGATCGTAATTCGGCTTTGAAAATATGGAAGGATCAGCTCCAGACAGCGAGGTCATTGATTTCGACCTCGGATGACCTAAGAGTCCTACAACGAGAAGTCTGCAAGCTGGAAACACGAATGGAGGATCTCACTAAAGCGAGTCATAAACTGAACGACCTGCAAGATCCCGAAGAAAGATCTACGGACATGGAAAATCACGGAATGTGGCTGCACGAAAACATGGAAGTTACCAGAAGCCTGAATATCAAGATATGCGAGTTACAATCCGATGTGAACGATAGAGTCTCCCTCTATTCAAAACGTTCTCGCCGAAGTAAATCGTCGAGTAAATCTAAAAACTCCAGCTTCTCTATTCCAATAAGAGCGCAAATGATGGCAAGAGCTGCCAGACTTGGAGCAGAACTCAGATTCCATGATATCGAAAGAGATAAGGTGGCCGCTTTAAAACGACAAGAAGAAGACATCAAGAAACTGCAAATAATGAGGGAACTAGCCGCCACTAACGCCGAACTTGAAGCAGTAACTAAAATCGAAGAGGAGGAATTCGGTGTTACCATAAATAAGACGGACGATCTTGGACTCCCAGAAGATGACGCCCATAGCCGTATCGAGGAATACCTAAAGTCACAATTGCACTCCATTACTGACGAATCGTCTCCCGAACCTACCGCTAAAACAAATGTCATATCCACAACGATGTCGGAAGTAGTCGCCTGCTCGTATCAACCCTCCGGGGCAGCCTCTGGATTCCAAATCGCCCCCTCCACTTCAATCTCAAGATCGCACGCCGAAACAAACGTTACATTCGTCAAGAGGTCAGAAGTCACTGCCAGTTCTTGTCAGCCTTCTATTTTAAACCCTGCCGCTCCCGCCTTTACGACAAATTCGACGCCTGTCCAAACGATTACATACCCATTAAGTCCTTCCCACGCTTCCCCGAACGGTAGAGCTGGTACACCGGAATTGACAGGTGTCGGCGAAGTCATCACGAAATTAGCAGATCTGCTCACTCAGCGACAGGACAAGGACTCACTTCCCCGGCCAGAACCTGAAGTATTCAACGGTGACCTGTTGCGATACCCACTATGGATTAAGTCGTTCGAGACTTTCATTGAGAGAAAAACGAAGGACCCATCCGAAAGACTTTACTACCTCGGCAAGTTTACAGCGGACGAAGCTAAAGAGTCAATCAGCGGACTCCTCCCTCTGGACTCTGAGGAGGCCTACGTTGAAGCTAAGAGAATCCTGGCAAGCAGATTTGGAAATCCCTTCCTGGTGTCAAATGCATATCGGAAGAAAATTAACGACTGGCCAAGGATATTGCCGAACGATGGCCCAGGTCTTAGAAGGTTTTCAGATTTTCTACAACACTGCAACACCGCAATGCATTCAATTAAATATTTGGGTGTACTCAACGACCCAGAGGAAAATCAAAAGATGCTCAAGAAACTTCCAAGTTATTTAGTCTCTAGATGGAGCCGAATCGTGGATAAATGCATTGGTGAAGAGCAAACGGACAAATTGAACTTAGAAGAAGTACCTTGTCACGCAAGAGAAGCTACATATCCTTCCTTTGCGGAGTTTTGCCAGTTCCTGGCGACGGAAGCGAGAATTGCATGCAATCCTGTCACCTCTCTACGAGCAATTAAAGACGAAGATTTGAAAGGGAAAACGCATAGCGGATTACGAAGGAGCAAGGGTCCTGGACTCAGCAGTCTAGCAACAGGCGTAAACGAAGCCGCGGGAGGAAGCGAGAAAGGCAAAGAAGAGAAAAGAAACCGACAGACGCTCTGCCTCTTCTGTAAAGCCTCTCATGACCTTGAGAATTGCGACAAATTTCTGCGCCTGCCACTGAACGAGAGAAGAGAATTCGTCCTGGCCAAGCGCCTATGCTGGGGGTGTCTAAAGTGGGGACACGTAAACAAAGATTGCCGTAGGAAGAAAGCCTGCAGGACATGTAATGGACCACACCCTTCTGCCTTACATGATGAAACATGGAAGACACCAACAAAGGAAGAAGCCCCTAACGTGAAACAAGACAGCAGCAGCTCAAACAAGGACGCATCCGTCTCCAATCGAATTGAAGTCTGTCATATGAAGGGTTTCGACCACTGTACATCCCATTCGTTGATCGTTCCGGTCTGGCTTCATCATCAAAATAACCCTGAGAACAAGATCAAAGTGTACGCACTCCTGGACGAACAGTCAGATGCATGTTTCATCAGGGAATCTACTCTCAATACGCTTGGCGTTGACGGTCCAGAAATTCACTTGGAACTTTCAACCGTTCTTGCTCAGAAGACCATAACTAGCAAGAAGATAACCGGCCTCTCAGTCCGCGGCATCAATGAAACGATAGATATTCCTCTCCCTAGAACGTACACAAGAAACGTCATTCCTGCTAGGAGCAGCCAAATACCGATTCCCGAGACCGCCAGGAAATGGCCCCACCTAAAGGAAATTGCAAGTCACCTGATGCCACTTGATAACGACATCGAAGTTGGTCTCCTCATAGGAGCTAATTGCGCCCGAGCAATTAAACCGCACAAAGTGATCCTCGGAAATGATGACGATCCGTACGCCAAGAAAACTGCTCTTGGGTGGGGAATTATTGGCGTGGTTGAACGAACGAGCCAAGACGACAGCACCATTGATATTGCCGGTGATATACTCTGCAACCGAATAGTTGCTCACGAAGTCAAAACTACATCAGAAAGAAGAACATGTCACTTCGCCGTGAAGACCCATGTTAAAGAAATTATCAGCCCGCTTCAAGTAGAGAGAATGTTCACGTTGGACTTTAACGACAAAGGAACAGAAGAAAAGTCACTCTCATTCGAAGATAGAAGATTCCTTAAGACAGCAAAGGAAGGCATTCACCAACGAGAAGACGGGCATTATGAAATGCCTCTCCCTTTAAGGAACGAAAACGTCGAACTGCCTAACAACAAGGACCTAGCAATGAGCAGATTAATGAAGTTGAAGCAGAAGTTGCAGAGCGACACACAATACCGAGAGGATTACATTGGCTTTATGCAAGAGACCATAGAGAACGGCTTTGCAGAGAGAGTTCCCAG